CTGTTAATGCTCTGTAAATTTACATTGAGCACTATTTGGTAAAAATAAAAATATCTATAAGAACACGGATTATATATCTTACTGTTCTTTCTTTTTATTTAAATACATATATATATATATATATATATATATATATATATATATATATATATATATATATATATATATTATAAATTAATTGATTTAAAATGTTTTTTTGCTACACAGTTCTAACCATGTTTCAAAAATGGAAGCTTTACAAAGAGAACATTAAACACTTGATCATTTAAAATAAACAGAAAAGAAAGATTTGAACTTATCTATAAATATTTATGATATCTCAGCCCAATAACCTCTTACTAATTGGGTAGTATTTATAAGAAAGCAGTTTGCATAAGTGAACACTTATACACACCCTTCTCTTTCAGACATGAGGAGAAGTGGATTCATGCCTTTCCCAAAAGAAATTAGTACAAATTAACAGACTCATTCAAAATGTGAAGCTTTTTTTTTATTGACATCCATACCAATAATCATTGTCTTACCTCACACCTCCACTAGCTACAAATGAAAGATAATAAATATATACATGTTATTTCACAAATATTTTGGGTTACCTGTTTGGAAAAATAAATCAACAAGCCAAGTTAAAATTCCAACTGAAATTGTTGTTCATTTTTGTACAATAAAAGAAAGCTATGAATTCATCTCTTCCTCTGATAGCCATCAGTTAAATATCTGGGTAGACTTATCTCTCTAGACTTGATTGGCAACTAGACTAGGAGAATTCAAAACTGGTTGTGCTGATGGGCAGATATAAGCTCTTCAGCTTTCGTTATCAATTTATCTAGTAATTGGAACTCAATAAAAACACCCACCCACAAGCAGTCTGAACCACTTGATATGTGTTAGCCCATAAAAATATACAATTGAAATGAGTTATGCCATCTGTTACAGGAAGAGTTAGTTTCTTTTTTTTAATATTCATGTTTACATTTACATACAGACAGGTTATATTAGTCACTTTGTAAACTAAGGCACTCGTAATAGCATACTTATTAATAATAGTACTGTTATTATATTTTTAATATGTCTTTATTAAAACAAAAGATATTGTCCATATAAAGTAAAATCTTTATAATTTATGATACAGTACTTGCTCGATTATCTATACTTTGATTTTCCAAATGTGAAATGAAGAGGATATTGAAATCATCCAAATATATTTCAGTTATGTAAACTAAAGCCATTCTAATATTCCATCTCAGACAAGCATTTTGAGAATTTACAAAACCATATTCAAAGTTTGATAAAAATGCTGATAATGTCTGTTGAATTCTTTCTTTCAAACACTGAAATAATGATTAGGTTTGGATACACTTCCAACCAGAAGCTACCCTTACAAATAAATCTACTTTAATCTAACCTCAGGAGTTAGTGGCAGAAAAATGCCAGCCAGAAACAGACAAAAATTGATGCAGTTTTCCATTAAAAAAAAAAAATAGAAAAAAATCTTTAACAAAGCATTTAAAAATGTTATTTGATGATATATTCAATTTCCTTCAGAGATATATAAATATTTCAATTTTCATTTTTGATAATTTAGGTATTCAATTATACAGTATGTTGCATTATCCAAACATTCTTTTGACCAATTGGTCACCCAGATAATTGGTCTGTAATTTTAATGATACTATGAAATATGTGTTCACTACACTTAATTAGAATAACAGAAACATATGAAATACAATACAGAAAATGTGATCCATACTACTTCAAATATATCTACAAATACAAGAACATCTATCTATATAATTAGAAACAAAAAATCCTGAATGAAAATGTGTGGTTTCAAATTATATCAAAGTTACAATAAACCAATTATAAAATGAGCTAAGCTTAGTATATTCAATATTATCCAGCATAGAATACATATACTCAAAAAATAATATACTTGCACAGAACCACAATCATCAAAAAAGGTGGAGCAATTTCCATTATAAATTAAAACAAAGATCTATCATGAAGTAAATATTACTCTTTTATTTTTACTAGTCTTGAACAAGTATATTTATGGCTAAAAGCTTATAAATAAAGATTCCAGGATATTAAAATACACTTATACAAAACAAATTCAAACTCTTAAATATTTATCTCCTGAAATCTTACAATTTTCAATAATCACTGTAGTAGGTAACTGCATACGGAGTTACCCTTCTTGTTGGAGATTTTCTCCCTTGACATAAGAACTCTTCTAAGCAAACTATTATAAATCTATTCTTGTAACAGACTATAATAAAACTTCCTAACCTACATTACCCTCCTATGCCTTAACAATCACCATAATGTTCAATAAGAATAATTTGAATATATTTCTGCTGCATTTTCTACAATTAAAACTATCAATAAAGATTATATTTTATCTTTTAAAACATTTTTTTCATTTTTATTTAAAAAAATCTTCAAATTATTATTATACCAATGACTTTAAAATATGGGAAGTAACTCTTAAAACAATAGCGAAATATATGGATTGTGTATGAGCTTATGAAATTATGTATCAATGGCCGGATTGTGTATAAGCTTATGAAATTATGGAGCACCCTCAAACCCATCTAATTTGCCTACACCCATCTTGAACATATTTTACTTGTGACATATTTTAACTACATTTACATAGCTTGAAGTAAACTTATACATTCTTTAAATAAATAAGAATAGCTATCTTTTGTTTATTAATAAAAATATTCTTTAATACCACTATTTTACTATTTATTGCAAAACAAATTAGCACAGATTTCAACACAGCCATTGCGAAAAAAAAGTATTTTTTATAACCAGCATTATAACAATAAAACAATCAAAATAAATTACTTTGTCATATTGATATCATTTCATTTTTTGAAACATCTAGAAAATTAAAATCATTACTTTATAAAAACTTGAGGAACCCTAGATTACAGCTTATACTAGCCTAAAGGATAATTTAACCCTAGTTCTATGTAATTACTTTTAAACTATCTGCCATTACTGTATGGAAAGGTTGCTTTTGAGAATTTTTGGATAGCAAATGAAAAAATAAATGTTCAGAAGTTTATGATATACAAATTCTATGTGATTGAAGTTTCACGGCATATGGTACTTCTGTGATATTTGTCATAGGTCTTGCTTGAATAAAGCAGGAAAATTGAATCATATATAAAGTCATGATACCAGACCAACTACCAAATGCTTTCAATTAATACCACATTGATGGAAAAACATGCAAGTTATCTAGTAAAAGACATGCAAACATTCACGAAAATAAATCCAATGATGATAAAATATGCATCTCATGCCTGCCAACTTTGTGCCAGAGATTTTAAAAGTTTGCCCAGTTTAAAGTGTCATATTGGTTCAGGGACAATGTTATACAGTGTAACCCGGATATAAGAGAGTTGTCGGGACCGGAGTTTGGTCTATTTTGTTTACATTAACACAGGCTCTAATTTGGGACCAGAGAAAATCTCTCTTATATCCGGGTTTATCTTATATCCGGG